TACTGGGAAGTACCCATAGGTGTGAGTACATCCCCTACCCTGGGGCAGGTAATTTGCATTACAGTGTAAGGTGGGAAGAGAAGCTAGCTGCTTGAGCTGCTGCTACCCCTCCCTTGCACTTTTGCTCTTTGCCATCACCGTGAAAGGTTGCTTTCTGCTGTGTGCTGCTCTGCATTGGACGCAGCTGAGTATGGACTGAAGCCTCCAGTAACTGTGAGCTAAATAAACCTTTCCTTCCTTCATTTTGAGTGTTGAGTATTTGTCCCAGCAAAGAAAGAAGAGTAACTAAGACAGGGGGTAAAGCAAATACTCTCTGGAGTATAAGAGCATTAAAGAAACAACAGAAAAGAGGTGATTTGTGGGGGCAGGGGGAGCAGTTGGGAGGAAAAATTTCAATTAATGAAGTTTGCTGAAATGAGGGACATCACCTCCATTCAGACAGTAACAATTATTAGAAATTCCACCAAATTATATAAACATTGCAATAAAATAAGTATTTTTCTAGTCTCAGAATAGCTCCCCTACATTTTCGCTAAACGCAAAGGGGAAAAAAATAGTACCTTTTGACAAGAGAAACCCATCATACACCAAGCAACCCAGATTATTATCACTGGTATTAAGTTTGTCTATATAACATGTATCAAAGTATATGACATAATAAGACAAGGGTGTGGTGTCCCCCTCAAAATGCATAAACTGAAGTTAACTGTGGACATTAGAAAAAACAATGAAAGGCATCTGGACAAAACAAGGAACTGTCACATCTTAGAGGAGACCAGGGGAAAGTGACTGGATCCTAGAACAGAAAAGGGACATTCGTGAGATCTGAATGAAGTCCGTAATTTAATTATAGCACTGAATGAATGAACGTTCATTTCTTGGTCTTGCTCACTGTGATACGGTTATGTATGATGCTACCATTAAAGGAACTCTTCTCTGTACTATCTTTGCATTTGTCCCTAAATCTACAATTCTTTCCAAATAAAACGTTTAAGAGTCAGGCATATGGGCATACACCTGTTATCCCAGCATTCTAGAGCTCATGTTCACACCCAAATTAGACAATTTAGTGGCTTAGCAAGACCTTGTCTAAAGTCAGAAATAAAAATGCTTGGGAATGTAGCTCAGTGTGAAGACACTGGGTTCAATCCCAGTAAAACACATACACGGGCGGGTGGGGGAGTAGTTAAGAAAACAATACTAGAGAGTAAATAGAATATATTTCTAAAATATGTATCTCATGTGTCAGTCATACCTTGGCTGTTAAAGTAGCCCTACAATCTAATGTTGAGGAAACAATCTCATTTCAAATGATTAGACAAGTCTTAAAGATTTAACTAAAAAAGTATGATTGGCAACAAGCACATTTAAATATATTCAACATCAGTAGCCATTAGAAAAATATAAATTTCACCACCATAAGATACCATTGCACACCCACAAGAAAGGCTTGTGATGAGGAGCGTCTAAACATCTAGAACACAGAGCAGTGCAGCCTCTCTGGAAAACAGCTTAAGAGTTGGATATAAAGTCAAACATATATTTTTACAGCCCTGCTAACCTTCTAAGTATATATTTGTCCAAGAGAAAGAGGCATGCTCATGTGAAAATTTGCATCCTGAAGTTCCTATGGTTTTGTTTATATAACCATCCCAAACCTGGAAACATTACAAATGTGCATCACCAATAAACAAATAAGCAAATTGTGGTAAGTGTGAGTCAGCCCAGGCATTATGCTAAGTGACAGAAGTCAATGTAATTCTTTCTATATGAAATTCTAGAAAAAACTAAAGCAGTGGCAACAGAAACAAAGTGAGCAGTGGCCCAGGAAGAGGGTTATGCACTGACTGAGGGGAATTAAGAAGAAATGTTTTAGGTATATCAGAAGCGCTCCGCATAGTGACACTGACCATGGTTGTACTATGGGACGTACTTGTTAAAAGTCATAGAACTCTGCTTAGGCAGGCACAGCAACAGGAGCACGATCCCTGGAGTGAAGTGCCAGCCCCACCCATGGGCAGCTCTGAGATGGAGATTGAGACTGGGCGTGGCGGTGCACCCCTGTAATCCCAGAGCTTGGAAGGCTGAAAACAGGAGGATCATTACAAGTCAGATCTGTATAGTGAGACCCTATAGACCCTGTACTAAATACATTTTTTAAAAAGTCATTGAACTGTACATACATTAGTGCATTTATTATATGCTGACTCAGTAAATCTCATTAAAATATGTAGAAAATAGATTTTTTAGTAGAAAAAGAAAGTCATGAATTTTTAATTTTTAAAACCCTGTATTTGTGTCATGGTGTCACATGCTTATAACCCCAGCATTTGGGAGGCTGATGCAGCAAGCTCTCAAATTCAAGCCCAGCTTGGGCTACATAGCAACTTAGTGTGACCCTATCTGAAGAAGCATTGTTAAAAATAGTTAGGGGCGTCAAAACAGAGAGAGAGAGTGCGTGTGTGTATGTGTGTGTGTGTGTGTGTGCGCATGTATCTGTGTGTCTATATGTGTGTGCGTGTGTCTGTGTGTCTGTGTTTCTGTGTGTGTGTCTGTGTCTAGGGAGTGAGGCCCTGGGCCTCACTCTAAGCTACACCCATATATATATATA